ATGTGAGATGTGACGAGCTGCGTGATAGGCAAAACCCTACCTGTTTGGAGGTACCGGTGACTTTTATAAAAAGGCCGGGAGGGGTACTCGTCAAAGTCCAGTGGTGGTTGTCGAGACAAGGCGACTTGGGAGGAGGGGTACCGAAATTCGGAAGAGATATCCGAATTTCATGTGTTGATGTTTGCCCCTCTTTTTCTCGTTAGTATCATGTCGTGGTTGTTTTTCGAATTCCGAGGTCGGAATTCTTTGTAAGGTGGGTAGACTGTAGCGCCCCGTTCATTTATGGAATAATTGGAGTTTTTATTTAATAATATTGCCATTATTATTATTATTATTATTATTATTATTGTTATTATTATTTTATTTAATTGTCTAAATGTAAAATAAATGCTTAATGTGTATTATTATTATTATAAATAATGTGTGAATAATATTTTATAATAATAGCCGAATTTTATTTTAAATTATCGAGCGAATCGGACAATTTTATTTTGGCTAAATAAATCGTGCCCGAGAGAAACGTATGCGTTTGAACCAAACCCGGCTACTTAAGCCCGCGACCCGGCCCGACAGATTTTTTCCTCCTTTTTCTTTCACGCGTGAGAGTCGTGTGGGATTTTTCTTGGCAATCGAAAATACTCAACCCTAATCATTGTGCATATATATATATACAACTTGTATCTATTTGTTTTCTTCCTTGTCAAATTTTCACTTCACGTAGCTTTTCCCCTCAAATCTGATTTCTTCTCTCAGTTCCCGACCTATTTATCTGGCAAAATCTCGCGCACGTTTCTGTGGAGAATTACCGATCGTAACTTCATCTCTCTCTCTCTCTCTTGCTCTTCTAGTTCGTTCTCTGTTTTTCCCGATCATCACCATCAATTCTGTCGTCCTCCACCCATCATCGCTGTCTGATCATCTCATCGCCATCATCAACCTCTCGTTCAGTCCGTCGTCATCTCGCCATCATCCCGCCACCGTTCAGTTCGGGAGACGCCATCATCACCGGCGTGGCTTCCCTCTGTTCGTGATATTTTCGGCGACCCTCTATTTATGTTATTTCCGGCGGGTTTGGTCACTCCGTGAGCCCAGACGACGAGAACTCCCTCTGCCCGTGAACCTTTCCAACGACCTGTCAGCCCCGACGCCATCTCCTCTCGCCGGAAGTGAGCCAGCAGCGACCTCAACGCTCCCCTCGCCGTGAACCTGTGATTCCGGTGACCATCCCGACGAGCAGCAACCTTCGGCCGAGACCAGCAGCAGCGACGACCCACGCTTGCCGTCGAGCTTGCCGCTAGCTCGCCTTCTCTTTCGTTCCGTTTTCCAAGTTTTCCCGAGAACGGTACCTAGTCGATCTCGTCTCATTTAAATCGTTTTTATGTTAATTGCTTAGCGTGTTTAAACGTCGTGATATGTGTGATTTGCGATTTGATTTGCGAGATGTGTATATTGTGCGATTGTGTTCGATATGATATTTGGTGATAGATATGATTTTATGTGTTCGTATGTTCGGGACCTCTTCGATTTTCTCAAGAATCGAACGAGACCTCGAAAGTCGTGTAAGTCGGTGGATATTGGAACAATGTCGAGCCCTTGGTCTTATGAAAAGGCCTCGGACGAGAAATTTTATGTTGTGAATTAATTCCTAAGTTGTCGAGCATTTGAATCGCTGTTTTGATGTTTTAATTTTTAAAACTCGCACACTGATCGGAATGACTTGAAAATTTGAGGGATATGTTATCTGTTCATTTCCAGCCTTGTGTAAAAATTTCGTAATTTTTAGAGGCCTGTAGCTATTTTTAATAATTAAAATGTAAATCTGAGTAGAATAGTATTAAATGCATAAAAAATTCATTCGTGAATGAAATGAGCTGGAATTCGAGTATGTCATGCCTCTGTGACTTTTATATGTTGTGTTTAATTTTTAGAATTTTTGGACTTGATTTGATGTGGCTAATAATTTATTTATCGAATCTGCTGAAGCGTTGTTTGAACTTTTATAAATTGGTTACTTCATGAAAAATTCTGAAATTTTACTGAGAGGTCTATTTTATGTGTTGAATCATGTGTTTAAAAGATGGGAATTTTTGGAGTCCGTTTTAATTCAGTTTGGATTTAAATTCGATAAACTGCTGTTGCTTGTATGAATTTTTAAAAATGGCAGCAGTTATCATTTAAAGCTGAGATTTTTATGCATGAACTTTAGCATACTGTATGTTGCTGTGTAAAATTTTCAAGTTCAGATTCATTCATTAAGTCTGAGTATGAATCCATGTGCCCATTTTGCTGATATCTTGTTCGAATTTTATAAATTAGGATATTTCGAGTTTAAAGCTGAAACTTTGTGGTTTTACATGTTTCTGGAAGATGTAATTTTGTGTAAAATTTCAGAGCTTAATTCGTAGGGTAGCCTGACCATCTATTTTCATGTGATTAATGTTTAATATTTTCGAAACATGACTTTGAAATAAAAGTTGGGAATCGACTTGCTTTTCGTTATGATGTGAGTTTGACTTGGTCAATCCTTAGATGGATTTATGTGAACTCCCATATGTGGTTTGGTCGAGTTTAGTGCCGAGTCTTAGTGTTCCAACATCCACAGGACTTCACGAACTACTTAGTCGAAACAAGTTCGACTAGGTCTGTTTTGTGTTTTCCGATTTAGTCTCGATATTGATTGTAGGATCTTGACACAATGTAGGTGTTTGAGGAGTCAAGCCTCAACCTACGACTATTCTGAATTGCTGTCATCAGTCCGAATCCAGGTGGGTTGTTATTCTAAAATTATCTATGCATATGTGTGATTTAATTGTGTGGAAAATTTGGTATGACCTATGTATGCATGTGAACATGTAGCCTATCGATGTGAGCTGTTACGGCCGTCGGTACGGTTGTCCCCGTCGAGTTACGGTACGGTGCCCTTGTGTGGCAATCTCCTTAAAGTCCTGATATGGCCGTGCCCTTGTGAGGTACGTAAGCCCATATGGAAGGCCGTGTCCGTTACAGTGGCACGTACTCCCGCCTTCGGGTAATGAATCCCCGTTCTGCGGCTAGCGATAGATGTGCACATGAGTAAGGTTAAATGGTGTGATTTTGATTAGGAGATGAGACATGTTGTGATCATTGTTTATGTTCATGCTGCGACCATACCATTGTTATGTTATTCATATGCATAGTGTGAGTACGATATTTAACTGTACTCACTCCCACCTGCTCTTCACGGATGCAGGTTAAGCAGCTGGCGGGTGACGAGACGAGATGACGAGTGGTGGTTATATTATTTATTATTGCTTTATTAACCTTGCTTCCGCTTAGTTCATGAACTCATGTTGAATTTGGATATTTTGGTTATGTCATTTCGGAACATGGAATTATGAATTATCTTCTATGAATTGGAACCTAATGAATGCTAGATTGGTTTATGGTTTATTATTCGTGCATGCTGCCTTTATTTGCTGTGTTAGCATTTTTGGATAAAAGCTTTTGGTAGGTTGAGTAGCGCCCACTGAGTTTTTAATTACATTAATGAAAAAAAAAAATTATTGTGGTTTTAATTAAATAAATTCGATAAATCTTTTAAAATAAAGTGGGGCGTTACATACAACTCCCTAGTATATCACTTTGTGCCCCTTCCATGTATATAACTATTGGATAAATAAAAAAAAAATTCACATTTCCCAGGAAAATATGATACAAAACAGTATTAAAGTGGTACTATATAAATCAAACAGAGGTACAATAATCAAGAATAGTGGTACAGTGATCATTCCCACCTTATTTTTATGTTTTAGGGTGAATAACACATTACAAAACTTAACAATAGCATCAATTTCGTATACATAAACAAGAAATAAGAGATTTTGATCAATTTAATTGATTTAGGGTTAATATGAATAATAATTTTCAAAATTCATCCCAAACAAATTAACCAAATATATACGAATTAAACATGATTTTTGGACTCCAAAATGCTCATATAATACATATATTACTTGCTACTTCAAATTTTGGCCAGAAAAAGCACGAATGTTGCCGGAAAAAATTAATTCTTGGCCGCACAAATTTGACGTCGGAATCACTTCTTTGGCCGAATTTGTTGTTGCCGGAGTTCTTCTCGCCGGATTTTGTCGCGCGGAGAGACCGCCCTGCAAAAAATAAAATAAAATATGCAAGCAGTCGCCGGAAATGGAGGAAGACGGTAGAGTGACGGGAGGGAGGGAGAAAAAGTGTAGAAGAAGATTGATCAAAAAGTAATAAAATAGTATCATGTGTTGTGGTTGGTGGAAGATAAAACAAATAAAATAATGTGTTAGTGGGATGATGTAATAAAGCATTTTAGTTTTGATTTAATTTTAACATTAGAGAGTTAGGAGGAAGAAAATTAAGGAATTAGGGAGTTGAAAGGAAGAAATAAAGGTATGGAGACTGAGGAGGAATATGAAAAGGCACTTAGGGATTTAATAGGAAGTTGCCCATAAAATCATATGTAATATTACTTTTTAGTGAAGATGATATCATAACTTGTTTTCTTTTTGATTTAATTTAACACTAGGGATTTAAGTGGAACATGATTATAGGGGTAGGGAGTTAGAGCATCCACAATGTTTTGGGTCTATTTTTGTATATGTGGCATATAATTGGACTTGAGTTTTAAATGACATGGACAAACCCAAGTAAAAAAACTCAAAAACTTTGCAATGCAAAAATAAAAATACTAGGTCTATCATACATGTCAACCAATAGAAATGCTCTAATATGTTTTATTCATTAAAAAAAAAATTAAATTAAGAATAAATGATGAGTGTTTGGGTTTGTACTTGGGTCCAAAATAGACCCAAGTGTGGATTTGGTCTCTTTTTTTTATTGCCACATAAACTAGACCATGTCTACTTTTAATTGTATTGGGAATTATTTTTTTATAGACTAAGTCTATTTCCCATGTGACATGTAATTTTTTTGTTAAAAAACCCAAAGCATTGTGGATGCTTTTAGGAGGAAGAAAAAAAGGCGTAGGGACTGGGGAGGAAATTGAAAAGGGAGTTGAGAATTTGTGAAGAAGTTCCCCTTATTTTACTGGTAGCTATAATTAGTAATTAGTATTTCCAACTGGAGACAGCTTTCCCGTTCAGCTCGAAGAATTCTGATTGCGGGTGTCTCTTTTGTCTTCGTTTCGCTTTTCCCGCAACTCATCTCTCTCTCTCTCTAGATCGCCACCGCTCTCAATCCCATTCTTCTTGCTATACCGTGGAGGAGGCTTTGAATTGTAGGTATCGTCTTCTTTCTCAAAACATTAATATTTTTCAATGTATGATAATTGTTGGGATCTTCAGTTTTTTCTTTATTGGGTATTCAGATCTAAATATCGGTCAGCTATGCCTGCGAGAATTTTGATTTCTAACCTATAGTCGTTTTCATTCCTCGGATCTGTTGGCGCTTGATTGGCGTGGCTGGTTTCATAAGTGAACTATTTTTTTTTCCCCAAAAATTCGGTCAATTTTAGTGCATTGTCGTTTCGTTATGTATGGTGCCTGTATAAGATCTCTTAGATACCGTTTTTGCTTTTCTCCATTTTTTTTATATGTTAATTGGTCTTTTTGGATTGATTGGAGTGTTTTTGTAGGAAAGATCATTTTACCGTATGACTTTGATCTCTGTGATATAGTAGAGGCAAATTAGTTAGTGGAATCAGTATCTCCTGAATTGAAATTTGATTGTTAATCATCTTTTGGGAAGCTTTTAATTTGATTCAATGTTTAGAATTCTGATGAAATATGGACTCCTCTGCTCAACTGGAGGTTGTGCAGGCAATTAACTCAGAGACAGTAAGCTGATTTGGTTCTCTCTCTCCTCAAGAAGGGTGAAATGAAGAAGGCGTTTGGTCAAACTGTTCGCGATCTGTGAGTTCTGTTATTTAAGCAATGCACCTGCCACACCTTTAATGTCCCTCATTGTGACCTCTCTGCTATTAAATCTTGAATTAGAATTCATAGTTGTGAAAACACCTTTTTTTTTTTATAATTATTTTCATTTGGAAGATGTTAATCAGAGATGTGATTTGTCACTGAGCTTGAACTATCTTTCATGCAGTAAGAGAGAAGTCAACAAGAAAGTTCTTAAAGTTCCTTCGATTGAACAGAAGGTAATGATCTTGTTTTCTGCTGATTGGCTTCTCTTTTCCCTTTGTATTCTTATGACAACATGGTTTTACCAGTTTCTTATTCCTTTTATATAATTGTTAGGAGTCGTGGAATGAGCTGGTATTTTTTTTTTTTCAGGTTCTCGATGCAACTAGCAATGAGCCATGGGGCCCTCATGGGTCACTTCTAGCTGATATTGCTAATGCGTCAAGAAATTAGTAAGTTTGGATCAATTCAATGTAGACTTTCATGATCCCTACTTTATTTCTTTTGTTTCGAAAAGTTACTAATTTGTGAGTTCTGACAGTCATGAGTATCAGATGATCATGTCGGTTATCTGGAAACGTACAAACGATACTGGGAAAAATTGGCGGCATGTATACAAGGTTTGCTTCTAATGATATATAGAACTGCTCAATATTGGTTGTACCATGTTTACTTTATACAAGCCCAACCATCAAAGTCAAGGTTGGGAAGATTCAATTGTTTGTGACGCCTCCCATCTCAGCTGTAGTCTCATCTGTACCACACAGTGATTAAAAGGCGTTCGACGCCATGACATGAGGTGAGTCTTTTGTGGCCTTATTCGAGGAGAGGCGAGGCGTGCGCCACTAAGAACCGAAGCGAGCAGGGCATGTTAAAATATTAGGGTTACGTGCTTGATATGTCTTTCCTAAATTACACATATTTTCTCAAACAAAACCCTAAAGGCTAGATTAGCTTGTGCCTTTTCTTCACCTGACCAACGCGACCGGATTCCGACAACTGTGGAGACAGCTCTGTGTTTCCCCCTTTTGTTTGGGCTTTTCTCCATTGTTCTTTTTCGGCATTTTCCCTTCTCTTCTCTGTCTTATTCCGGTAATAGGCGTCGCCGGCTCTGCCTCTGCTGGAGGTGATTCCACAGTGCTGCCTGCAGCCCCGTTTTTTTACCTGCTGCTGGGAGCTGCGATTTCTGTTTTTGTGTTGCTGCTGGTCAGTTTTATTAATGGCGGATGGCGGTACATGGAGGTTTGCCGAAATTCTGCCATGGCAGCCTATGGCACTGCTATGACCGTCATCCTTCACAAATGTTGCGTGCTGGATTGTCAAAAATCTGCCACACCATACTTCCATGGCCGCCATTTGATAAAAGTGCTGCTGGTGACCTGGGACTGGTTTTAGTTTTTCTTTTTTCTTATACCAATTAGATCATAAAGTCTGGGCTAATTTTTCAGTTTTTCATATTGGCCGGAATGTTGTTGTCTTGGCTCGCCTCACGCCTTTTTAATCACTGCAACCACATCTAATTACTCTTGTATATTTTTCTAAGTTTACGGACATTCTAAGTAGACTTTAGTGTTATTTGTTTTTTGCATCTGTCTCTGAAAGATTCATAGCAGCTGCCTTCTTCAGTAACTAAATAATTCTTCTGATTTTTGCAGGCCTTGACAGTTTTAGAGTACTTGGTAGCCCACGGGTCAGAACGCGTCATAGATGACATCAAAGAACACGCATACCAAATATCTGTTAGTTTCTTTATCTTCTGGTTTGTTCTTGTCATATTTCCGAGAAGTAGTTTAGCACTTTTATAATTTTTTCTCTCGTGATAGACATTGTCCGATTTCCAATATATCGATTCCAGTGGGAAAGACCAGGGGAGTAATGTCAGAAAGAAATCTCAGAGTCTTGTAGTGCTGGTTAATGATAAGGAAAGAATACAAGAAGTTCGACAGAAGGCTGCTGCTAATAGAGACAAGTAAGTGAATATTATAAATTGTTAAATGTGTACTTTCCTAGTATTGCGATTCATCGGTTTGTAAATATCTTGCGAATGAATTTCTATGTCAATGCTTATATTTCTTATTGTATGTTGTATAAGATGTGCATGTCTTCTATGATGATATTGCTGTGTGAAGGCTGCCTTTGTATCCTTCTGCTGGAAGTTGTTGATTTTATGGGTACTCGTAATCTTAATCTTAATGATTCTTGTTTCTTGGACAACATCCTTTCTAAATTCCTTTACTATGATGTTATGTGTATGTTTGAAAATTTGGAGCTTGCTTTTGTTTGTATCTTGGGTATGATCTATTTGTATTGGTGTATGCAAAGTTGCAAACCTATGTTTAGCTTGTGTAACTTTTGATTTTTTGGAGCTGGATTGAATCTTGCTGCCAAGTTTGAACTATAATATGAGCCAGGGCCAGGGATTCGGGAGAGCTATGGGAATTGGACTTTTGTTATGCCCCTTCATTTTCTGTGAACTTTCTTAACGCGTTCTATTGGAAATGTGAATCTTCTGGGATCCTGGATAGATGGTGTATGTGAAGTTCTCTCCATTCCTAAGTGAGAATAAATGTGGTCATTAATGTACTTTACATATGGATTGGAATCTTTGGGGATTTGTGCCTTTCTATGGCTAGTTGCTTTTTTGAAGGAAAGAGGAAATGGGAGCACAATAAATAAAATATGGTAATATACTGTGCTTTGAATAAGATTCGGTTAGAACGAATGTGGAAGCTTTGCCCGATCATAGAAAAAGAATTGGAATATTTACTTTTCAAATACCAACAAGAGACACATTTTATTAGTCTTATTGATGTCAGGAATAGGTATATTCCATATTCATTAGGGGTCAACACATTTTCTTAGTCCTAGGGTTAGGAGTAGTTATTTTTCCATATTTCCTGAGTTTTTAACCACCAATGTATAGGAGGCTGTCTCCATTATCATAATATAGAGTTGATCAATAAAATTTAAGAATTTGTCTCTCAAATTGTGAGTCAATTTCAAGGCTTCCAGAACAACAATTCTTGTTGCCATTATTGACTTATCAAGCAAATTGACACACTTGCTTGTGGCGTCTTCGCACATACCAAGGTTCCGTTGTTCGTAACCAGAACTAGTAAGTGTCTTGGGGTTCAACATGTTGTTGCCAGGTCGTATGCACAATTGTTGCTACAGTAATGGCAAAAGAAGGCAGGTTAGAGTCAATGAATCATGAGCATGGTGAACATTTCTTTTTGTTTGCGATACACCTTGTTAGATTTTATAAGATTGGACAGCATCAAATGGAGCTGGAAGAGTCATTGTTGACAATTCTCCTGGCATAGTGCTAATAATGGACTAATCAAAATGGCTCAATTAAATTCTAGTGCTTCTTCTATTAGTGAAGTTTCTAGAAAAAAAAATATATCAAACGGCGCAATGCACCTTGGGTCGCTACGGAAACAGCCTCCTTGTATAATTACAAGGGTAAGGTCTGCGTACAAGTGACCCCCCAGACCCCAACCTGTTGGGAATATACTGGGTATGCTGTTGTTGTTGTTGTTGTTGTTGGACAGCATCTGCAACTTGGTTGCCCAAAAATCAAGTAGTGTTTAGTGATATTTGTCGTAGGAACCGGTTGACTGTGGCTTGTTCATTATATCTTATCGTTGGAAGCAATTCGGTGCATTCTGGATTTTGCCCTGAGTTCATTGTTTTCTTATTCTGCGAATATTATGTGCTTGAAGAATGGTGGAGTCCGGATGTAATTTTCTTAATGCTATATCTTCAAAGGCAAGATATATAGATATTTCTATGACCTTACACGTAGAGGAATTATTTTTCCAATTTCCATGTAAGTAACTTGGGCTGCAAACTCTGTTGAGTTTCAAGATTTTTCTTGTGATTGCCAGTGGATGATTAAAGTTTAACTGTTGTCATTTGTGTAAATGAAGGCTCCTTAGTGACTGCAGTACTTCATAATACTTGAACTACATTTACTGAAATTTCGTACATAGAAATCGGCAATGTACAATTTAATCTGGAGGAGATTCTATTTATTTATATTTCTTAATCTTTCATGTGTGTACTCTTCACTTTAAATTTTTTTTTTTTTTTTTTTTTTTTNTTTTTTTTTTTTTTTTTTTTTTTTTTCACATATTAGTTTCTATTTAAATCATGATATATTTCATCCTTGATGAGGCCACTAAGTTCTTCACTAGTGTAGTTCTCGCAGTGATTAGCTTAAATCACTTAAATTTTGGTTTTCTATAAATAACTTTGAATTTCGTTTTATCGAAATGGTAATAGGTACCGAAGTATCCCAGCAGGTGGTACGTATCGTCCTGGCTCCGGAGGGTATGGAGACAGATATGACGATGACCGATATGGAAACAGAGATGATGACCGTAATAGCTATGGGAGGGAGAGAGAATGGGGTTCAAGAGATGATGATAGATATGGCCGTGATGGGGACAGGTATGGTAAAGATTATGAGGAGCGTTCTGGCCGAGATGGATACAGGGACGATGACTACAGAGGGAGAGGGCAAAGCACCAATGAATATAATTATGGGTCAAGAAGTAGAAGTGCTGATCGAGATAGGAGTCGCTCAAGTGAGGATGATGGCCAATACTCTTCCAGGTTAGTTTAATTCTTATATCTCCAAATGGACTACTATATATCGAATTCATTAATATATTTTTTGTACGTAATTTCGTTTCATATTTATTATATCTGTAATGTGGTATCAATGGCGGGTGGTGGGCTGATAAGAGTGATAAGTACAGAAATTAATGGCTATTTAAGGTATGCAGGCATACACTTGCAACTTAGAGTTGTAGACCTATAGTGGGACTTCATGTGTAATATGAGGTTTATTGTTGTAGTTCAAGTTAAGAATTATTGCCTTTATATATAGAAATTCTAGGACGATGTGATTGCAAGTTTCAGTTTAATGCTGTATTTCTAGGAACCGATGTAGATCGATTTAATTTCAAACCGATTTTGATGGATTTAACATCAAAGCTGGTTGAGTGTATTCAACATATGCAAATCAGCTTGAGCAGTTCTTGATACAAACACTATCTGGTTGTCTCGCCAGAAAAAAATATTTAGTTGTACAAAATTGGATTACAACTTCAAGTTGCCTGGCTGTAGGTATATGCTTGAATGACTTTCCTGAAGTGAGTTTTATTAGGGGAGGGGCGTGACCCAAGGAACACATCTGCTATCTGAAGCAATTCCTTTCCTTAATTCTTTTGTTGGTGAAGCACACTTCTAATCATCTCTATCTCTACTAACATAAAAGTGTGTGAATGTTTTTGTAAAAATTTGGATAGACCAAATTACTCTTACTCTTTTAATTTTTTAATTGCTTAATTGTCATTTGTTAAGAGTCCATTTAATGAGAGAGTAGTAATTGTTCCTTAATTATATAAACATGTCTTTCCATTTTATATTTTGGGTATTTTTCTTTTTTTTTTTTAGTTTAATTGATATTTTATTTTGGTTAATGGATGCAATTTTTTTATTAGTTTCGGGTTTTGGATGTCAACTTATATAATACGCTTATGATTTAATAAACGACCCATTAGTTCTTCATTTAAATGTCATGTAACTGGTATTTGAAATAGTCGTTGATCTCTTTTTTTATATTTCTGTTTTTTCAACATAATGTTTTTCACACTAATGCGGGAAAAATGACCTAACATGTGGCATTCATCTTAAATAATTATTTAAGAAACTAACTTCACACACATTTTTTATTTATGTTTTTATTGTGTTACCCACTATGAGGGTCCAATCATATGTCACCATGTTACATATTTAAGATTTATTTGGAGTAAATAACAATTTTGCTTATTCTATTTTCTTAGTTTTTTTAATACATGTATATATAAATATAGTTAGAAAATATACATAAATTATTATGTAAATTTAGTTTAATTTTTAAATTTTAATGCCTTGTGTTTGAATAATAATTTTAATGCCTTGTGTTTAAATGCACTAACAAGTTTATGATTTATATTTTATGTAGATTGACTAAATTAAGTACATAAAATATAAATCATAAACTTGAAACATTAGAAATACTAAAACAATTTAAAGGGCAAAGATCTATAGCACATGTTTATTACATTACAAAATTATTTGCTTCTATATAAAAATGTATCTTAATTTTTGTATAATGTTGTATTTATAATTTAATCATCCACATAAGACAATTTTATTTTACCAAATTAGTTAGTCATAATATTTTGAAATATAATGACATTAATGGATTGTATAATTATGAAAACATTAAATTGTGTATCAAATTAAAAAAACGAAAAAAAAAACTTTCTAATTTTCTCCAAAAAAATTTTGGATGGAAAAATTCCTTACAAAAAATATAGCAATATAGATATTGGCTAATCCTTTTATATAGATGAATTGTTGGTGTAACTTCTTTAATTGTATTAAAATTATGAATACTTTTTGTATTTTGTATTTTTTTTTTATTTTTTTTTTGCATTAATATATCCCTTCCATATAGAATCATTGGTCTACTATTCAACAATTTACTTCACAAAATTAAGAGTAATGGTTGGTATCAATTGATGCAAGCCAAATGATGCACGAGAAGTAAATTGAAGAGAGACAAATAAAATAACTATTCACCTTTTTTTCTTTCACATTTAATCAAACTTATTTTATCTATAATTTTGTAAGAATGAGATGACATTTCTAATTTCCATTTTTAGGTATCAACGTGGACAACTGTTAAATCATATTTCTCAATGAAGACACAAATAAATATTCTCCATGGAGATAATCACACTTTACTATGAATTTTTCAGTAATAACATTCATTATTTAATTTATACATTAAGAATAAGAATTTCATTCATATAATTATGTTTTACTTATCCTTACGTTAATATGTCCAAATTCATTGTACTGAAATATTTTGTATCGAGTTTAGTACTTATTCTACTCTTAGATAAAAGTGAATATACCTAATTCAAATCGTTTATATTTAATTGTTTAATATGAGATAGATTAAGATGATTAATAAGTAACATGTTAATGACGATAGGTAAATTTTTTTAATTAAAATTATAATATAAATGCTAATAGATATAACCTATTGTTCTATTAGTGCTACGGTTTTATCAGATCCATATTATCATATCATTTTCAATTAAAATTTAAAACTTCATGATTTTTTGACAATGTGTTAGTGCAAATAAAATAATTCCACATTATGTTAGTCTTTGTGTACGTGCCTTCAATTTTTATTGAATTTTACTGGAAATAGTTGTTTAATTAGCATTAAATTGATTGTTTCAAACTTCCATAATGAATATTTATTGAGCTTTTTAGGCACGATTAGATATGAATCTAACCAGTTTTGACCAATTTGGTTTGGCTAAAATTAGTTAAAGTGAGTTAGTTTGAATAAAGTATATCAAGTGGATGATTTTGAGTTTGAAATCAAATAATATTTAAAATATAATGATTAAAATTGATGTGATGTAAAACTAGGAGAGTGATTATCGAAAGTGATAGGTAGTTAACATTATGTTAGTAGATGAATGGTAATAAATAAAAATTGATGTGATGTATAAGAATGATTGTTTATATTTATAAAAAGTAGGAGAGTGAAGTTGAGTTTTCTTTTGAGTTAGATGATTGGATATGAAATAACTCAACCGATTATAACCGATTAAGACCGGTTATAACGCATATATAATCACGGCAATGTTTCTCATAATAAATATATATGTATGATCCTAACCATTTTTCACTCACACACACATATATACTTATATTTAACTTAAAATGTATATCATAAATAATATATTTTTGTCAAATCAACTTAAAGACATGCAAATTCAATTAGACAAATTATATGGTAAAGACATGCAAATTCAATTAGACAAATTATATGGTTCACGTGCGAAGCACGTGCACCTTACTAGTACTACTAAAGTGCTCTTCTAACTACTTAAACAATCTAGAATTTTCCCAGAAAAATATAAGGGTTTCATTTGAGAGGAAAACCAATTTATATCTTGGATAACTTTTTATGGTTTCTTTTTATTTGTAACTTTGTCTAACAACAACAACAACAACAATATAGCCTTTAGTCCCAAGCAAGTCGGGGTAGGCTAGAGACGAAACCCAAGAGAAACACAAAAAGACTCGAACCAAAAGGAAGAGATCGAGAAAAAAAAATGAGAGAGAGAGAGAAAGGAGCAAAAGTCACGGTTCTGGCACGTTGATAGCGAGCTTCCAAGCGCTCCTATCCACCGCTAAATCCTTGGAGATATTCCAATCTTTAAGGTCTCTCTTAACCGACTCTTCCCAAGTGAGTTTAGGCCGACCTCTACCTCTTTTAACATCCTCGACCCGCTGTAGAACTCCCCTACGCACCGGTGCATCAGGAGGCCTCCGTTGGACATGTCCGAACCACCTCAGCCGATGTTGAACCAATTTCTTGTCAATTGGGGCTACCCCGACCCTATCTCGAATATCCTCATTCCGGATTCTATCCCTTCTTGTGTGCCCACAGAACCAACGCAACATACGCATCTCTGCTACACTTAGTTGTTGGACATGTTGCCTTTTTGTAGGCCAACATTCAGCACCGTATAGCATCGCCGGGCGAATCGCCGTCCTATAGAACTTACCTTTTAGCCTTTGTGGCACCCTTTTATCACAGAGAACGCCCGACGCCTGACGCCATTTCAACCAACCGGCTGCAATTCTATGCCTAACATCAGTATCAATGCCGCCATCCTTTTGTAGCATCGATCCCAAATACCGGAAAGCCATCCTTTTGTAACTTTGTCTAACTTCTATGAAATTTTTTTACTCATAATGTTAAACTAAATATTAATAACTTTATATGTCTGTTTCTTATTTTTCAATTTCTGGTCAATTACTTATATCATAATTTATTTTTTGTATCTATATTTCGCGCTCTATGTTCAAGATGCAGCTTGCCTCTAATAACATTCTCTGAAACAGTTAACGGGGTTTTTTCAACGATTGTTGTATGCATTTTTTATTTAATATTTTCAGTTTCATAACATTAAGTTCAAGTGAGTGGAGTTTAGCACCTATCTGTGGTGCCCCACAACTGAATAATGAAAATAAAGTTGGCTAGAAATGATGCGAACTCCTAACCAATGTCCACTTTAATGGAAGAGCTTAGCAAACAACTATGAGGTAGTTGATATATCCAATTACCCATTAGCTTCTTTAATTTCAATCTAAGTGGAACCATCTGATCTAAGACTGTCTTTATTTTACTCCACTGTTCGCATACCGGAATAATTGTTGTCTTTATATGGTGACAGTATGTGATTCATTTCTAGTACAAATTCACAGTCCCTTTGAGTGTGCTGTATATTTGACAATATCTTGACTTCACAATTATACTTGCCCCATTTGCAGAGGAAGTGGTGCCAAAGCTGATGATCAGTCTCAAGATGGAAGGTATTTAGATTTGTGGGTCTGTTTGTACTGTATTGCCTGCTTGGACCTATAAACAATTATATAGAGTGGAATAAACTTAACTAATTTAATTTCAATCAGTTCTACTGCCAGGAGTCTTGACCGTAAATATTCTGGGCAAAGCTTTGGTGTACCTCCTAGTTATGAGGATGCTGTTGGTGCTAGCCGCAGTCCACCTTATAGTGAAAGGTGACTGCTTTTATCCATGGGCTGTCTGCTTTTTGGCTAATTTATGGATTGGTTCTAACTTTGTATCTTAACAGGGATGGAGATTCTTCACTAGGATATGCCCCTAAAGCTTCATCCCCCAAAGGTGCTAGTCCAAGCTATACAACAAGTGCAGGGGCTTCACCCTCTGCTCCAGTTTCACCTCCTGCTTCAGTGTCAGCTCCTGCTTCCGTAGCCGCTCCTGGTTCAGCACCGACATCTGCTTCAGCACCTGCTGTTGCTCCAGCTCAGCTTACAACTCAAAATAGTCTCAAGGAAGCCGATGGTTTTGATGAATTCGATCCGAGAGGTTCATTTTCAGGTAAATCAATTAGTAAAAGCATGGCATTAAAAGTATGGCATTAGGTGATTGCATTAAGAGGTTTTCAAAACTGTTGATAATTCAGTATACGAGTTTGATATTAGAAGTTGCTTAAAATATGGGTAGTATTTTTAATGTGTATTTTCAGAGATTTTATGGCAAGCTGATTGAAAACACGAAACACTTCCCAAAGAAAAGAACCATTGTAGCTTTCGAGGAAAGCTATTTCTCATGTTACTATCATATTTGTTGTGAATAATTTTCATGAGAAAGTACTTGAATGTGAACTTAATATTTGAGATTGATAATGGAACCCAAGAATGACCGCCTTTCTGGAGCATGCATTCTTTGAAATGTGACATGACCAATGCATTCATTTTCTCAAATGAAATTGGCTTCAAATTTCTCTTTGAGTTCTCAAAACTGAAGTAAATTATTGGGGTAATTACATTGAGTACTGAATCTGAATTGTAATATTTGTGTGGAAACTTTAACGTATTGTTGACGAATATTTTTGGTTAATTTGGTGTTTTTAGTGTGTATATATATATTTCAATATGGTGAGAGCATGCAACTTCGCTTTTATGATATAACATAATTCCCACATTTGTTTTTCTAATTCTTATTAAAACATACTTCTGATCCCTTTTATGGTGAGACATGCTTCATGTAGAACGTTTGTGAATTTGAAGCGTACAAATTTCCTCTCGAGTAAGTTTGCCGTTTAAGTCAACCTTCAAGATGTGGAAGAAAATTTATTTAAATATTTAAGTTACTAAAAACCAGTGTTCTAGAAATCGCCAGGTGCTCGACTAGCGCCTAGCGCCTAGAGTGCCTAGGCGGAGCCTCGACAGTAAGGTTAAATACCTTATTTTTTATTTATTTTCACTACCTACAAAATAAAACTACCTCAACTTATATTAAATCCACACACTTAAGTCCAAATAATACTATTAATATATTATAAAGGAAACATGATAGCAAAATAAATTAATTAATCTTTAAAAGATAAAAAAACCTGAAAAATTGCCGCCGAGCCCGCTTTGGCGCCGCCCGACCGCCTGGCCGATTTTTTCAGTTGATTCATGCAAATCGGAGGTGGTCAGGCTGCGCCTAGCTCCTGGCGGCCACCTAGGCCGATTCTTAGAACAATGCTAAAAACTCTACCTTGAGCATATCTCATAGTTGCCTTTCCCCCTCCATTTGACATTATGACTAGCGAGTTCTTGTTGCTTGATTGAGAATTTTCCCTTATATTGGGGTATCATGGTTGTATGTTACGATATATTTGGAAACTCAATTTCCTTTTTTCTAATTGATAGCTGCCCCAGTTACATCCAATGGTGCTATATCTGCTACTTCTGCTGCGGACATGGACCTACTGGGCTCTTTGTCCGAATTTGCTCTTGTGCCTGTTAGTCAGCCCACCTTGACTCCTGAAGCTAATGCCTCTTTGGACTTCAGTTCTGGACCTGCAAACCCAGCTGCTGCATCACCGGAAGCCACAATCAATAATCAGGTACTCGTCTATAATATTTGCACTTCTTACTTTTTAAGCATTTGCATACGAGATGAGTGAATAACCACCTACTCCCACGACAGGGAAATGAAATAATATCCTAACTGATAAATGTGAAAAGAAAAGAAAAAATCAGATGGCTAGATTACTGACCTGTTGCTGTTTCTGAGAATGGGAAAAGAAATCTGTAGTCTGTACACCTTGTGAGCCAACGTACTGTTTGGTCTGAAATTNATGAAATGATTATTAATTTATCAATGATTTAATGGTATGATGTTACCTTGCGAAAGATGTAACTTGGTTTGTTCTTTGATCGTTACTTCTCCTCTAGTCCATTGAAAGTTAATATTATATTCTTGACTGCATATATATATTTTTTTTAAAGAATTTGTGTGTGGTACGATCATGCTCCCCGCAACTGGTATGAAACTTAAGGTCTTGAAATGTTTGTTTCCCTCACTTATAAGCAGCTTCTCAATTTCTTGGAAAAGCCTCGAGGTGCTACTTTTGATTTTTACACCTCGGTCATTGTTTTCTCAAGCTTCTGCTATATCCTCAAATCCCCATTTTGTTTTTTCCATGAATGGCCATGCATTGCTGTCAAATTTTTATTTGGGAAGTACATGTTGACCCTGCTCCCTTTTTCCTATCAAATTCTATTATGGCAGTTGTGAGGACATTGAACGTTATGTTCTTTACCACCCAACAATGGTCTAACAAACAATATGGCTTCTTTTGCAGGCATTTGATGATCCTTTTGGAGATGGTCCATTTAAAGCTATTCCTTCAGCCGATAGTTTATCAACTCAACAAGAGATCCCTGCATCCACTAACGCCTTCCATACAACAAACTTGGGCCACAGCATCGATGTGCCTCAACAAGTTCCTCCTCACAAGGCAGCAACAGAATTCGGAAGTAATCCATATGAAGTAACTTACATGACATCAGGCCCTTCTGGCGGCACACAGTTTGTGAAACAGGAGCTATCTAATCCGAGCCAGGAACTCGATATATTAGCAGACATTCTTCCACCATCCGCACCTTCATCTTTTGCCAGCTCACAACCCGGATATCAGCTTCCACCACAGACTGGTTTTCCTCAAACTGATGAAGCTCCACCACAGACTGGTTTTTCTCAAACGGGCCCACAACCCAGCAATTTGCAAGCACAAAGCGGCCTTCCTTCTGGTTTTCCTAATCAATTTGGCCAGCTTTCTTCTTCACAAACCGGTTACCCTCTTCAGTCAACATCATCCTTTCCACAAACCGGTTTTCCGACTCAAGGCATGGCTTTGTCCTACCCAATTCAAGGTGGGCAACCACCACAGATGGGTTTTCAACCTCAAAGTGGCCCCACACAGCCAAATCCGAGTTTCTATGGAGCGTACAATTCACAGCCTGCGTCTACAGGTCCAGTTGGTGGATACATGGCTCCTCCTGCTCAGAATAATTTTCTGTCACAGTTGGGAGGTTCTGCAGCTCTCAGTTCGAGCAACCTCTTGGGCCCAACATCCATTAATACATCTTCAACCGGGTCTACTTCTGCTATAGCTCCTCAACCATCGAAAGACAAGTTTGAGACAAAGTCCACTGTATGGGCCGACACTCTCAGCCGTGGACTCGTCAATTTGAATATATCCGGACGTAAGTTTTTCACATTTCTAATTTGTTATTCAAATCTATGTGTAGGATCTTGTTTTATTTCCTCATGCTTGGTTTCTGTCAATTTTTTTTATTTTTTTTTTCAGCTAAGACAAATCCACTGGCTGATATTGGAGTTGATTTTGACGCAATAAACCGGAAAGAGAAAAGGATGGAGAAGCCAACAGCAGCAGCAGCAGCAGTAACATCTACAGTGACGATGGGGAAGGCCATGGGTTCTGGTTCTGGCATGGGACGTGCAGGTGCAACTACCCTCAGGCCTCCGGCAAATCCAATGATGGGTCCCGTGGGCATGGGAGGCTATGGAGTGGGTCAACCAGCTGGGAGAGGAATGGGAATGGGGATGAATATGCCTGGCAATATGGGTATGGGAATTAACATGAGTGTAGGCCAAGGAATTAACATGCAACCACAGATGGGGGCTCTTCCTGGATCTACCATGCCTGGAGCTTATAATCATATGGGAAATGGAGTTTACGGTCAACAGCCCTATGGTGGGGGCTATCGATGAGCGTGGAATCTGTGGTAATCGATAAGCTGGTATTGCCAGTTTTTATTATATAAGGAAAATGAGTCACCCATAATAGGTGATTTTACTTACAATTGGAATTATATAAGATTTCAATCTATACAAAGCGTCGTCTGTTTGCTTTTGATTTTTCTTGCTGCCTGTGTGTAGAATGTTTGTGTATTCATTGTTTCAGGGTTTTTTTGTTTACAGTTTACCTGTGCAATTTTTGGGTCACCATGAGCTCTAGGTGCCCCTTACTTCTTATCTGTTTAAATGAGATCTTGTATATTATAAACAAATTTCAAGGGCGACCTTTTTAGGTTTGCCCTTTTTTGTTATGACTGACTACGTCCAGTCTGAGGAATTGAACGAATACATTTAATAGATTTCAGCAATTGATTTCTTTTGAAGTCTTTTTTTTATTGTTTTGTTTTGGCTTCATCTATAGTAAGTACGTGTTTACATTTCTTTCAAACTGATTGATCAGTTTTGGGAGCTACACATTTAAAGGTCTGATCCAGTAAGCCCTTGTTTGCTTTTCAGGATGAGATTGGACTAATTTAGTCCAATGGAGAAGGATTGTATTGTTGGGATTGGACTATTCCTGTGTTTGTTATATATGATAAGGGGGTAGGATAACTTTAAATTAAAAAATAAAAAAAAATGTGTAGGTGGTGTAAAATACTGTTTTACCCATTTCAAATAAATCAAAAACAGTCCAAAAATTATTAAAATGAGGGTAAATTAAAAATTTACTACAACAGGATAATAATAATTCCACCTATTTCCTGGGATTAGTTTATCCCATGTACGAGGGATTAAGTCATTTTTATACCGGGCCGATGGGATTCCTGCGGGCTTTAGTCCCATGAACCAAATGCAGGATTAAATCTGGATTAAGCGGGATATCCTGCCTAATCCCCCATGTTTGATTGGTGGGATGGGATTGTACTAAAATAATCCATGATGGTAGGATTTTACTGTTTGGACTATTTTTATGTTGGGTTTGTTATGTGTCATTGTGTAGGATAACTTATAAGTAAAAAAAAAGGAAAAAATGCACAAACCAACATCACTTGTATAAAATACTATTTTGCCCCTACTATCTCCCAACGTAACACAGGCAAATAAGAATCAGACAAAAATCTATGCAGACCACATTATTTTATCACTCTCAATTTCATTTAGGAGCCACATTATTTTATAACTTCCAGCTGGTCAACACTTGTATACAGTCTATCAATTTTAGTTCAATTTCCTACAGCCACGTATGGAGACGAAAAAGAGAAACTCCAGAACAAGTGAGTGAAAATTAAGAGAGATGCTAAAATAAATGAACTCTTGTTCAAAGCCACACATCAAAAAGCAGAAATTGAATATGTGGTCCGATGAAAGACTGAACAAGAAATAGGGTGGGAATTTACTGGTCTTCCTACTCTTAACTTTGTCGACCCAGGCTTTTTAAATCAAATCCGCTTTCTGGTCACCTTTTCTCGACCCATTTTTGACATATTAGAAAAAAATGGAATTTTTTTTCGAAAAAGCCGTATTTTATAGAGTGCACACACACACACACACCAAATCGTTTGGGTGCGACAAATGGAACTTACGGGGAGGATGAGAGAGCAGAGAACGAGGGAAACGACGGAGGACACGGTTGCGCAAGCAAAACGACGTATCATGAATGATTTAAAAGAATCCGGTAGGGGTAGTCGGAGAATCAACATCTATAGAATCAACTTCGGCAGACCGACGCCGCCTTGCTGCGGATTCATCAGCGTCGGGTCAGCGTAATCACTCGGTAAGGTTCAATTGAATCCCGCAAGTATGTCGGTCACACGGTACAGCTGGGTGTGTTGTAATTAGATAGGGATTGAGGGTAAAATAAGAATTTAACACAATAGGATAGAAGTAATCCCACCCTTTCCCTGGGATTCATTTATCCCATGAATACGGGATTAAGCCATTTTTATACCGGGCTGATCCCATTCCTGCGGGCCTTAGTCCCACGAACCAAACGCAGGATTGTGCTTGGATTAGGCGGGATATCCTGCCTAATCCCACCAAACAAACATGCACTTACAGTAGTAGAATTAATTTTCTGCATGCTAATGGATGGCGGGAAGATGATTTTTATTTTTTTGGTTCTTTTCTTTTGGTTTTTGATTTTGTTTTGGTTTGATTTTTACCCTTTATATTGGCTGATGTGGTTTATTTTTTGTAAGTTTTTTTACACAATTGTGGCTAGGGTGGGTACTGTTTGGGACAGTTTGGGATTGGGCTTGTTCCGGTACCTATTTTGCTTTTATGGACCGGCTAGGGAACGGCTTGAGATGAGACACCGTCTCAAATAGACAAGTATCATTAGGACCGGGATAAAACAATTTGTACCATGCCGATTTGGAAAAAAAAATAAAGAAAAAAATCGAATTCAGTAGAAAAAAAAACTATAAGTTATCAAGTGTTTTTCAAACATTACATTAGTACCTATTTTGCTTTTATGGACCGGCTAGGGAACGGCTTGAGATGAGACACCGTCCCAAATAGACAAGTATCATTAGGACCGGGATAAAACAGTTTGTACCATGCCGATTTGGGAAAAAAAATAAAGAAAAAAATCGAATTCAGTAGAAAAAAAAACTATGAGTTATCAAATGTTTTTCAAACATTACATTAGTTCATTATATTGTTAATATGCATCTACGTGTAATACCGATGTAAATATATGATACAATGTATACATACCAACTAGTGCGTGGCCCGTGCGATGCGCGGAAAAATAATATTTGGATTGTATTATAAATTGAATAAATAAATAACATTAATTATGATTTACCCATTATTTTTAAATTAAATCGGGTTGGACACAGTCTGACCGGATGGACCGAGAACCGATTTATAACCAGTCTAGTGGGCTTGAATAAACTATATGCTATCGAATCTTTCAACACCAGTCTATTGGACTGGTAGGATCGATACGATTTTCTAAACAAATTTTGTTACATTAAAAATAATTTTAAATAAAATTACATATTTAAATAAAATAGAGATTTATAAATTGTTTATCAATTAATTTAAATATTTGAATTTATAAATTGTTTAGATATTTAAGTAACACTTTATATTTAAATTAATTACAAAAAGTACTATATATATATATATAGATATATAGAGAGAGAGAGAGAGAGAGAGAGAGAGAGAAAGGATCATATGAGAATGGTAGTTAATGCAAGAAATAAGAATGATTGTACACCTTTAGATCCCACATCTCTACGGTCATGATGAAGTCAAAGTTAGTAATTAAAGTCAAACTCATTAAGGATAATTTAGACATTTAACAATCATTAAAGGTAATTTAGTCTTTTCAAATAATTATACATCACAAACCCAACCAATTCACACCTAATCTCAGCAACACATTAAACACGTTCACACACACTATACATTCTCTCTCACACATATACACACACACCCTCTCTCTCACACATAAACACACACTCACCATCTCTGTTATGGTCGCACACGGCACACACACACACACGCAGAACATCACCCGACCAAATCACATCGGACCACCAGTTCGCCGCTGAAGTCGCCGCCATCTCGTTCCTCGACCTCCGCCGGACAAATCGACGCAACCGCCGTTCTCCGTGTGTCCTCGACCGGCGGCCGTTTATTGCTGCCCCGCCGTCTCGTGGCGTCGCCACGACCATCGTCCATGTTCCTCGCACAAAGGAGACGACACTCTGTGTAGATTAATGGCCGAGCCCTTTTTTNCCTCGGGCCGCCGTGGCGACATTAGGAGTTGGGAGATAAGACGGCGGAGGAGAGACCACAGCGGCGGCGACTGAACGTCGGGAGTGAGGTCTGGCGGTGGTGAACGGAAGTGACGGATTGAAAATGTTGGTTGGAATTGTGGGGTTACACTTTGAGAATTTGATATGTTGTAGGGACTTGATTGTAATTTTTTGAAGTTTAATTTATTTCAATTCAATACTTGAGGCAAACCTGTAATATTGCAAAAGTTTAATTAATAAACAATATATAATCTTATTATAAGTCTTTAATTTTAATTGAAATAAATCTGATTATTTAATATAATTTCATGTTTAATATTTAATATTATATATTACACTTTGATTAAATAAATAATATATTATGTAAACGAGATATATTGTGCAATTTAATAGTTACTAAGGTGCAGTCCGCCAAACACTATGGTGCACGGTGACTGTCTGTATTGTGCAGCAGATTGAACCAAACGAACCTTTTTGTCCCAAATCGAGTTGGAAATGAACATAATCATTGGTTTTTTTTTTTATTTCGGTTAACCAAATTATGTTAAACATTAGTTCGATTAACCAAATTATGTTAAACAATAGAAATAATTTTTTATTTATACTAAATCTATTTTCAATGTGTTAATAATTTAATTATTATTTTTATATTATTCGTGGTTGAAATCTTCAAGTTCGGTCAGTTTCGATCTGTATCGTGAAATTTGATAATCGTGATAAAGTGCAGCGTGTTGTTTCGTAAAGTGCAACTTGTTGTATTATAAAGTGCAACGTGTTGATCTATAAAGTGCATTACCGGGATTTTATAAGTATAAAAATTATAATTGAAATGAATTATATTGAACCAACCGAACCTTTTTGTATGTGTTTATAAAGTGCATCATGTTATTTTATAAAGTGCAACATGTCATTCACTAATTTGCAATTCGTATAACACTAATTTGCACTCGAAAAAAAGTTATTATTTTAATTGATTTGTCTCAACTCAAGTTGAGAACAAAAATAACCAGTTTATTTGATCGGTTAATCGAATTAAGCTAAATAGTCGTAATAATTTGTAATTTATATTATAAAAAATATATTTAGTATTTTAATTTTTTTATTTAATTATTTATATTAGTTGTTGTATAAAAAATAATACATATATTTTAAAAAAAGAAATGTAATATTTTTATATAGTTTGTTCATATATGTTAGTTCGCTTGTTTAAAAAAATAAATGACGATTCTAAAAGTAAAATACACAATATATGAAATACCAAAAACGATGTGCATTTCCATAGAAAATAACGTGCATATAGTCTATTACTATTGTGTAATCGATTGATCGGGTATTTTTTACGTGCATTTCAATTTTAAAATATTTTTAATAATTTGTATTTTTATTTGGCATTTAGTCGGTACTATGATATTTTTAATGTGCAATCCCGAACACGATAAGGTTCAATGCACTGAACATTAAACATTAAAGTGCAATATCACATGCACTAAAGCGCAATTTGTATAACAATATGGTGCTATAATGATATTCTTAATGTGCAATTCCGAACACGATACGGTGCAACGCACTGAGCATTAAAGTGCAACTATAAACTTTCATTAATCTATAAATTTAACCCATGAACCAAATTGCAATATAGTTAAACAAATTATATTTTCAAA